AGAGTGCCAGCCATGATTTTTTAAAAAAAAAATAATAATCTCGGGGCTGGGAAGGTGGCTCAGTGGTGAAGCGCTTGCCTTGCATACATGAGGCCCTAGGTTTGATTCCCCAGCACCACATAAGCAAAAAGAAAAAAAGCCAGAACTGGCGCTGTGGCTCAAGTGGTAGAGCGCTAGCCTTGAGCTGAAGACCTGAGGGACAGTGCCCAGGTCAGAGTTCAGGCCCCATGACCGGTCCCCAAACTGGAACTATAATGAAGTAAGTTTCCAGTAGTTAAATTACTAGTAAGTAGCAGAGCCAAGATTTAAAAAAAAAAAGTATACTTTTTTTTTCTATTGTACTGTACTGAACTGGAGAGATGCAAAGACCTACTTCAATGTATGCACTCCTATTTCACACATACTTGTAATACATGCACACTTCTGTACCTACCAAACTATGGCACTTGTTATTTCTACAACAGATCCTAGTTTCATGGCTCTGGGTCTCAAACCTTCTGTAGTACAGTTGCCAGATTTAGCAAAAGTAAAAGAGATTCAGCTAAATTTTAGACAAAATTAACATGTCAGTACAATTTGGGGATATACTTATACAGCTTTATAATTTTTTTTTTGTTAATACGATTTGGATGGAAACTGTTCTCCAAAAAGGTTCGTGCATTGGCAGCGTACTCTCTAGCTTATGGAACTATTTGGAGAGATCCCAGAGTTTTTAGAAAGTGGGACCTAGCCAGAGGAAGTAGGTTGCTGGAAGCATGTTGTTGGTCTTTATCTCCCTTCTCCCCTATCAACACATTCCTGCTGGTTTCATGCAATGAATGATACTCTACCAAGGACACAAAAATCAGTGGAGCCAAAGACACTGGACTGAAATCTCTGAAACCATGAGCAAAATAAGCTTTTCTCTTAAGTTCTCAGTCATTTTAATCACATCTATGCAACAGTATAGTACATTGCTTATCTGAAATACAAATTTACCTGGCCATTTTGTATTGTATTATAGACCCCTACCAGAGAGAAAAATTCCTGTGTCTTTCAAGTTCAAATTCAAATCCCTACTCTTAAAGTCTTCATTATTTTTCAGGACAGGATTTTTTTTTTTTTTTTTTTTTGCCATTCCTGGAGTTTGACTTAGAGCCTGGGCACTGTCCCTGGGCCCCCTTGAGCCACAGTTCCACTTCTGGCTTTTTTTGGGTGATTAAGGAGATTAAGAGTCTCATGACTTTTCTGCCCAGGCTGGCTTTGAACCACAGTCCTCAGAGCTCAGGCCCCTAAGTAGTTAGGATTACAGGTGTGAGCCACCAGCACCCAGCCAGGTTTGCTTTTTCCTTTTATAACATATCACAGCATTTAGTACTCACAGTGTATGTGTCTGATTTTCCCTATTCAGACCCTTCAACTCCTGTGAAGGAACTACTTTATGTTCATCTCTGAATCCTCAACTATGGCAATATTGAATGACAAATGGTTATTAAAAAAAAACATAACTGCGGGGCTGGGAAGGTGGCTCAGTGGTAGAGTGCTTGCCTTGCATGCATGAGGCCCTGGGTTCGATTCCTCAGCATCACATAAGCAAAAAGAAAAAAGCTGCAAGTGGCGCTGTGGCTCAAGTGGTAGAGTGCTAGCCTTGAGCTGAAGGACAGCGCCCAGGCCCAGAGTTCAGGCCCCACGACCGGACCCCCCCCCAAAAAAAAAATAAAACAAAACAAACATAACTGAGAGCCACAAGGTGTAAGAGTGGTCATGGAAGGAGAACAAAAGATGTATCAATTTCCTCCTGTATTCTAAACATAGCCAGTGGCTAACCTGGGTATGTGACTTAAGGGCAGGGTGCCTGCCTAGCATGCATGAAGCCCTGGGTTCGATTCCTCAGTATCACATAAACAGAAAAAGCCAGAAGTGGTGGTGTGGCTCAAGTGGTAGAGCAAAAGCAGCCCAGGCCTTGAGTTCAAGCCCCAGGACCGACAAAAACAAAAAACCCATAGTGGCTAGTAATTTTGCAGTATTTGGTGCTCACTAATAGGTGGATGGGCATAATCTTTGCCCACAAGATCACATTTTCCTGAAGTGCCATTCCAGGCTCTGCATCTCCTTTTTGAGAAGGTTGGACCTGGTCCTATTTGGCATAGAGAATTCCATGGAAACACGAGCGCCCGTCTGAAATCTACGGGAGCAGGAAGTTGAGCTTGAACTTCCGGCTTACTCCGGAAGCGTGGTGGACCCGGAAGCCCGCCCCGCGTGGTTGTGCGCGGCGGCTTCTAAGGGAAATGCCGCTGGTGGTGTTTTGCGGGCTGCCGTACTGCGGCAAGAGTCGGCGTGCGGAAGAACTGCGCGGGGCACTGGAGGCCGAGGGTCGCGTGGTGCACGTGGTGGGTGACGCTTCGGTGCTAGGCGCGGAGGATGCGACCGTGTACGGCGATTCTGCCCGGGAGAAGGCACTGCGCGCGGCCCTGCGAGCCTCGGTGGAGCGGCGTCTGAGTCGCCATGATGTAGTCATCCTGGACTCGCTCAACTACATCAAGGGTTTCCGCTACGAACTGTACTGCCTGGCGCGGACGGCGCGCACACCTCTCTGCCTGATTTACTGCGTACAGCCCGGCAGCCGGAGCCCGCGACGGCAGGCGGCGGGCGTGGTGGAGAGCCGAGCCCCGGACGTCCGTGTAAGTTGGAGGCCGCGCGCGGAGGAGGGCGGGAAATCCCCGGCGGCGGGCCCCGGTGTGCGTGGGGGCCGCCTAGCAACGGGGTCTGTAGTAAATGGGGCTGTCCCGGCCGACGTACCGAGAGAACTGGGTTGCCGGGAAGTGGAGGCGGCCGATTTTCCAGCTCGAGCGACTTCAGAGAAGGAGAAGTCTGCGGACTGTGCGTCCGGTGCTGCGTTCTCTCCCGAACTTCTGGAAGCGCTAACGCTGCGCTTTGAGGCTCCAGATTCCCGGAACCGCTGGGATCGGCCCTTGTTTACGGTGGTGGGCTTGGAAGAGCCGCTACCTTTTGCGGAGATTCGGTCTGCCCTGTTTGAGAATCGAGTTCCTCCACCCCATCAAGCTACACAGTCCCAGCCCCTGGCCTCCGGCAGCTTTCTCCACCAGTTGGATCAGGTCACGAACCAAGTGTTGACTGGATTGATGGAAGCTCAGAAGAGCGCCATCCCTGGGGACTTGCTAACACTTCCTGGCACCACGGAGCACCTATTATTTACAAGGCCCCTGACCATGGCAGAATTGAGTCGCCTCCGTCGCCAATTTATTTCCTATACTAAAATGCACCCCAACCATGAGAACCTGCCTCGACTGGCCAACATGTTTCTTCAGTATCTGAGCCAGAGTTTGCACTGATCAGAGGGGTAGAGGGAAGCCCTGGCTTCTGCCTAACTTATATTGCACTTCAGAAAGTCTGAGTTTGAAGGTTTGAAGACCACATTGATGTAATACCAGAGCTGGATTTATAACATAAGTTGAGACTGGAGAGAAGGGAAAAGTAGCTTGAAGAATTTTGGCAGATTCTTCCAGAGGAGAACTCACACACCATTTAATATTTTCCATTTGGATAGGTGAAAATTGCTCTAAAATAATTTGTGAACAAAAATTGAAGTTGGCACAGTTGGGTATCTACACTGGCCCTTTCATACCACAAATGTATTTTCATACAGGCCTGCTTTTGAGTGGAGGATCCTGTGATTAAGATAACAGATAAATCCACTGTTTTCTGTCTTTGGGAAACTTTTAATTTTTGCGGAAGACATAATCACTAGAGTATTTTCTCAAATAAAATATTTTAAAAGTAGAGTCTGTTGCAATCTCTTTCAAAGTATGGAACTTGAGTTCCTGTAATTTAACTTTTTACCTCCTTTCCTGCTGGTACTGGGGTACTGCTGGTACTCAGGCCTTGGGAGCTGTTCCTTAGCTTTTCTCACCCAGGGCTCTAGCTGTACCACTTGGGCCACACCTCCATTTCTGGAAATGTGTTATCTGAGATGATAGTCTCATAGACTTTCCCTGTCCAGGCTACTTTCAAGCCAGGATCCTCAGATCTTAGGTAGGATTCAGGCATGAGCTACTGGTGGCTCTGACTTAATGTAACATTTTATCCCTATATGTATCATTGTTACATAGTTGATTGATAGTATTATGGTAGTGTTCAGGAAGAACTAGATGGTTTGATCTAGCATGATGCTTTAACGACTTTCATAACTACTGTGCTTCATTCTATATTTCAAGGCAGACATCACTGTAAGTGAATCACTGTTGATCTCATTGAACAGTGGTGAATAATATACCTACTTATCGGTGCTTGTAATTTTTTTTTTCCCAGTCTCGGGGCTTAACTCAGGGCCTGGGCACTGTCTCTGAACTTCGTTTTGTTCAAGGCTAAAACTACCACTTGAGTCACAGTGCCACTTGCAATTTTTTCTGTATATGTGGTACTGAGGAATGGAACCCAGGGCTTCATGCATGCTAGACAAGCACTCTACCACTAAGCCACATTCCCAAGCCCCTCAGTGCATGTAATTTTAAAAACTAGTGTTTGCCTTTGAGTATTTGTAAGAAATAATCAGACAGACAGGGCACAGTGACAGATGTAATCCCTGGTACTTTGGGTTGTGGAGATCAGGAAGATTGCTATTGCTATTGACCAGTTTGGGCAAAAAGTAAGATGGCATCTCAGTCAATAAGCCAGTTACTCTGAAGATCAAGGGAAAAGTGGATGGTCATCTGAGGCTTGTCCCAGGCACACTAAACCCAGGTTTAAGAAATAGCTTAAGGGCTAGGAATGGGCTTAGTGGTAGAGTGCTTGTCTAGCATGCATGGAGCCCTGGGTTCCATTTCTCAGTACCACATAAAAAGAAAAGGCCAGAAGTGGCACTGTGGCTCAAGTGGTAGAGTGCTAGCCTTGAGCAGAAAATCTCAAGGACAGCATCTAGGCCCTGAGTTTAATCCCCATGACTGACCTCCCCCCCCCAAAAAAAAAAATTGAAATATGACTAATGACGAATGACAAAGCCCGCCCTGAGTTCAAACTCAAGTTACCTCCCTGCTCACCCCCAAAAAAGGGGGCAAGTGACTAGAGGATAATGACAGAATACTATAGAATCCCAGAGGAGACTAGTGGCTAGGGGAAGGTCTTAGAAAAGAATATCTATTTGGATCCTCACTGTCCTCAGGACAGGGAAAAAAAAACCTAAATGTTGAAATGTGAATTACATTAAACATGTCACAGAACATTTTCAGATTTGCTTTTCAACAATGGGTTTAAATGTCTAAAAGTCAGAAGCAGGCAGTGGACTTGATTTTGGTAGTGGACTAGTTTGGTAATCCAGTTCCGGAACAATGAATCGGAGTTTTGCCTAAGAGAAAAGGGAGCACACCATTCTAAAATGTATGCTCTGAAGATAGATGGAGCAACTAAAAGGTTGATGGTGTCTTTCTTGCTCATCAGGTAATCTGTACCACTTTTTAGTTTCTGATTTTTTGAATACAAAAGAGGATTCATGAAATGGAAGTTTGGGTCAGCTTGTTTGGACAGTACTTTTATCAACTTGCATTTTATAATTCTATGTTGGCTGAATTGAGTTTAAGGCTGTGGATTCTAGATTGTCAGTTTAAATTGGAATACACTTCAGTGATTGGAAGGAAAATTGGTTTTGAAATCAGACTTCTGAGTGAGTAGCAGAGCTTAGATTTTTATGTGGCCAAATGTCTAATCTTGGTTAGTCTCGGCTCCCACTTTTGTTCCTCCCCTTTTTGTGGTTCTTGGGATTCAGCCAGGGCCTGGCACCTGATGGGCAAGTGCTTCACCACTGAGCTACATCCCCAAACCTTTTTTTATAATTTCTAGTATTAGAGCACTAATAGTATGTGTTCTGGAGTTTTTTCCAAGCATTTAAAATGTTCAAATGCATGTAAATCACGTAGTACAATATCTTTTTTTTTTTTTGGTCGGTCGTGGGACTTGAACTCTCAGCTTGGGTGCTGTCCTTGCGCTCTTTAGCTCAAGGCAAGCGTTGTACTGCTTGAGCCACAGCTCCACTTCCGTTTTTCTAGTGGTTTATTGGAGATAAGAGTCTCACAGACTTTCCTGTCCCGGCTGGCTTTGAACCGTGATTCTCAGATATCAGCCTCCTGAGTAGGTCGGATTACAGGCATGAGCCCCCAGCACCTGGCTACAATGTCATATAATAAATGTTCAACACTGGCTATTATACTTCCTAGATCTCACTACCTACTTTAACTTGCCTTTCTCTTGTAGTTTACTAGGTTTTGCAGGTAAAAATTCTTTTCAGATTTGTAATAGGCCTAAAGTGAAGTAGCTGAATAATTTGACATTGAGTTAATTCATGTTAATTCATGAGTCAATTCATTAGAGTTGTACTGACATCTAGGAAATGCTATATGTGTTTGGCATTAGCAATATTAGTATTGCTAGATAGTAGTATCTGCTAGATAGGATTCAGAGACAGCTGACAGTTCCTTGTCTTAGAAGTTTCAAATATAATGGAGGAAGGTGCGTAATAGTAAATACACTTCAGTATGCTAAGTGCAATTATAGCTTGTTATATGGTATATGGTGTTGGATGATGTGATGTACTTTTGCCTTCCTGATTATATGTCATTGTAGAGAAATATCTAGTCTCGTCATTTGTAGATAACTGTTAGCATATTTTAGTATGTTTCCTTTTAGGCTCTTCTCTATACATTGTATAATTAAATCAGGTTGTAGATATCTGTATTTTTATTAAACATACTTTAAAAAGATTGTTTTCAATGATTAGATAATCATTTAGAAATATAATATGGTTTTAAAATATTGCAATTTAGTATTGCTATTCTGCAATTTTACCTTAGCTTTTTTTGAACCCAGGGCCTGGGTCTATCCCTAAAGCTTTTTTGCTCAAGACTAGTGCTCTATTACTTGAGCCACACCTCTACTTCAGGCTTTTTTTTTTTTTTTTTTTGGTCCGGTCGTGGGGCCTCAACTCTGGGCCTGCGCACTGTCCCTCAGCTCTTCAGCTCAAGGCTAGCGCTCTACCACTTGAGCCACTTCTGGCTTTTTTCTTTTTGCTTATGTGGTGCTGAGGAATCGAACCCAAGGACTCAGGCATGCAAGGCAAGCGCTCTGGGACCACTGAGCCACCTTTCCAGCCCCATATACTTCTGGCTTTCTTCATTTTTCCTTAGTGGTTAAACTCCTGCCTGGGCTGGGTTTGAACCAAGACCCTCAGATCTCAGCCTCCTGAATAGCTAGGCTTACAGGCATGAGCCACCAGTGCCAGGCTTTTTTCCTTAGCTTTAAAGCCCACATTTGCAGATTTTACAGAAATACTAGCATTTACCTCAATTTTATTTTATTTTTATTATCATTTTTTGCCAGTCCTGGGGCTTGGACTTGGAGATTGGGCACTGTCCCTGAGTTTCTTTTGCTCAAGGCTAATACTACCACTTGAGCCACAACTCCACTTCTGGCTTTTTCTGTTTGGTACTGAGGAATTGAACCCTGGCTATTGTGCTTCATGCATGCTAGGCAAGTACTCTACCACTAAGGCACATTCCCAACCATTACCCTCATTTTCTTCTGATCATAATCTATTGTTATTGAATATTTAGATTGTCTTCTGATTTTCCAATTGATATCATACTTTAGAAACATTTTTGTATGTTACTCTTTGTATGTTACTCTTTTAAAACTAGTTTTATTAGAATAGTTTTGAAGAAGTAGATTACTACTTACTTACTACTTACTTACTTACTACTACTTACTTTTTAAGTGGATTGCCTCTGATGGTGATTATCCATAAGTCCTGGTGTGGAGCTTGCAAAGGTAAGAACAATTGCTCAATCTAAGATCCCACCTCAAACACATTGCCAAAGATTTAATATTTAATAAATGTTAGAATTAAGCCAGGAGCTGGTAGCTCATGCCTGTTAATCTGAGCTACTCAGGAGGCTGAGATCTGAGGATCGAGGTTCAAAGCCAGATTTCCCTAGTCTGTAAGACTATAATCTCCAATAAACCACTAGAAAACCACAGAAATGGCGCTTGGCTCAAGTGGTAGAGTGCTAGCCTTGAGCTGAATAGCTGAGGGACAGCGCACAGGCCCAGAGTTCAAGCCCCATGACCAACAATAAATAAATGTTAGAATTGATTCTGAGACACTACTACTAATGCTTTATGGAACACAAATTTATGCCAAACATTCTCTTCCTTCATGAAATTTGGAACTATATTTTCAAAGGGCTTTAGGGAGGATAAGGTGATTTACAATACAGTTATGTATAATATGAAATTAAGCATTTTAGTAAGTCTTATAGGTAGTAAGTTTATTTTATTTTATTTTTGGTCCGGTCGTGGGCTTAAACTCTGGGCATGGGCACTGTCCCTCAGCTCTTCAGCTCAAGGCTAGCGCTCTACCTCTTGAGCCACAGCACCACTTCCGGCTTTTTTCTTTTTGCTTATATGGTGCTGAGGAATCGAACCCAGGGCCTCGAGCATGCAAGGCAAGCGCTCTACCACTGAGCCACTTTCCCAGCCCTAGGCAGCAAGTTTAAAGGAAGCTGAAAGCTTGTGCCAGAGACAAAAGTAGTTAGATGAATCTTTAGAGATGGGACCAAATTATTTGACATTATTTGACTTTGTGGTATATATTCTTTTGCTATACTGTCCTGCTCCTTTCTTACTAGCAGGATAGTATTTATCTATGGTATGTTACACTTAACAAAATCCAGGTTGGAAAAAGAGTATAAAAGCTAGATATAGTGGTACATTCCTGTAATCCCAGAATTTTGGAGCCTGATGCAGGAGGGACAAAAGTTAAAAGTCAGCTGGGACTACATTTACCCTATCTCAAAAGAAACAAACAACAGTAAAATGTGGGTATGTATGTGTGTGTGTATGTGTATAGAGTAGTGATGATTTTGTTATTCAAGTTTTAAAGAGAAGTTGAAATGTCATTATAAAATCATATTAGGCTGGGTGCCAGTGGCTCACACGTAATCCTAGCTACTCAGGAGGCTGAGATCTGAGGGTCCCAGTTCTTAAAGCCTGCTCAGGCAGGAAACGTCTGGGGCTGGAGATGTGGCTCAAACAATAGCAGGCTGGAGGCAGAGATTAGGGAAGCCAGGATTGGGAGGATCTAGGTCTGAGGTTACAGGCAAAAATGTAAGGCACTTATCTCAAAAATAGCAAGTAAACAATGGGTTTGGGTAAGGTTTGGGTAGTGATAAAGCCCCCAGGTATGAGTTCTTGAGTTCTAGCTTAAGTACCACTAAACAACAACAACAAACAGCAAATAGTGATAATTTTTTCCCACTTATATATCATTTTCCTTATTTTATAAGTGAGATAACAGCTTCATATAGCTATGCAAATACAAATGATGACAGAAATATGACAAGAATCTAAATATCCCAATTCTGGTTTTTATTTATTTTTATTTCTTGCCAGCCCTGGGATTTGAACTCATGGACTGGGCACTGTCCCTGAGCTTTTTGCTCAAGGCTGTCACTCTACCACTGGAGCCACAGTGCCACTTCCGGCTTTGTTTGTTTATGTGGTACTGAGGAATTGAACTCAGGGTTTCATGCATGCTAGGCAAGCACTCTACCACTAAGCCACATTCCCAGCCCTCCACCTATATTTGAAAGGTAATTATGTGGTTAATTTTCCACAACTAAGAAAAGCTAGAAATTACTGAATGTGAAACGTGAAGTCTAGTTTTCTTTTCTTTTTTTTGGGGGGGGGGTCCAGTTGTGGGGCCTGAACTCTGGGCCTGGGCGCTGTCCCTCAGCTCTTCAGCTCAAGGCTAGCGCTCTACCACTTGAGCCACAGCGCCACTCCTGGCTTTTTTTCTTTTTGCTTATGTGGTGCTGGGGAATCAAACCCAGGGCCTCATGCATGCAAGGCAAGCACTCTACCACTGAGCCACCTTCCCAGCCCTGAAGTCTAGTTTTCTAAAAATTAGTTTTGTGCAGTTATTGGGGCTTGAACTGAGGGCCTTGTGCTCTCCTCTTTTTTGCTTAAGGCTGGCACTCTACCACTCAACCCATACCTCCATTTCTAGCTCTTTGCTGTTTAATTGGAGATGATAGTCTCCAAAGACTTTTCTTCTGGGGCTAGCTTTGAACTGAAATCCTTATATCTTATCCTCCTGAATGGCTAGGTGTATAGGCATGAGCTATCAGTACCCAGCTCCAATTTTATTTTGATTTTTGTGTGTATGTGCCAATTCCAGAGCTAGAACTCAGGGACTGGGCACTCTTCCTGAGCTTTTGTGCTCTAGGTTAGCACTCTACCACTTGAGCCATTGCTCTATTTCTGGCTTTTTGGTGGTTAATTGGAGGTAAGACTCTCAAGTTCTTTCCTGCCTTGGCTGGCTTCCAACTGAGTTTCAGATCTCATCCTCTTGAGCAGCTAGGATCACAGGCATGAGCCACTGGCACCTGGCTTAATTTTAGTTAAAAAAAGCTTCAGTTACAAGAATCAGTTTGGGAAATATCTGAACTACTACAGTTAATTAGTATGATTATGTTTTTTCTGTTTTCTTCTATTTCAACATTCTTTTCTTTTCATCCCCCAGCATTAAAACCCAAATTTGCAGAATCTACAGAAATTTCAGAACTTTCTCATAATTTTGTTATGGTAAATCTGGAGGTAAGACTTAAAGAGTTCCTTGCTTTATGCTATTATTTTAAGCCTTTATTGTTTCATACTTAGTATCCATGGTATAGAATTATATTAAGCAAACAATTTATATGTTTATATGTGTTAGGAGGGCTGGGAAGGTGGCTTAGTAGTAGAGCACTTGCCTTGTATGCATGAGGCTCTGGATTCGATTTCTCAGCACCACATAAGCAAAAAGAAAAAAGCCAGAAGTGGCGCTGTGGCTCAAGTGGTAGAGCTCTAGCCTTGAGCTGAAGAGCTGAGGGACAGCGCCCAGGCCCAGAGTTCAGGCCCCATGACCAGACCCCCCCCCCCAAAAAAAAAAAAAGATGTGTTAGGAAGCAATCTAATATCTACTCTGGAAAGGAGTAGTAAAGGAGAACTCGACTAAGATAACTATATTTTAAGATTCTTTCATTCTTAGTTTTGTGTCTTTGTATAGCTGTTCTAAGATAGACTCATACATGAAGTCTACATCTCCCTGCAAACTATGATTGAGTCGAGCACCTGCCCTGTAGTAGGCTTATATAGACAACCTTTCTGTTTTCTCTTAAGACATCTTTTATGAAATTCATATAATAGACTTCAACTGTTGGAATCTTGAGTTAGAATATCTGATCATAGACTTGGAAGGGATTTTTAGTCTACTGATACTACCTCCACTTTATAGAAAGAATATGTTTTGTTGTTTTTGTTTTTTTTCCAGTTGAAGGGCTTGAATTCTGGGCCTGGGTGCTGTCCCTGAGCTCTTCAGCTCAAGGGAAGTGCTCTACCACTTGAGCCACAGCGCCACTTCCAGTTTTCTGGTGGTTAATTGGAGATAAGAGTCTCATAGCCTTTCCTGCCCGGGCTGGCCTTTCCTGCCTGTACTGGCTTTGAACCATGATCCTCAGATCTCAGGCCTCTAGAGTAGCTAGGATTACAGGCGTGAGCCACCAGCACCTGGTTTAGAAAGAATATCTTAAACCTAAAGGAGGTATATTGTTTCATCAAAGTCATGGAGCCTAGTGAGAATAGGTACTATGGCCTAGCTGTGTGGATATTCCATGATGATGCTTCCAGCCAGAAGTGTTCTCTAGGAAGTGGTGCTGTGGCTCAAGCGGTAGAGCGCTCGCCTTGAGCTGAAGAGCTGAGGGACAGAGCCCAAGCCCAGAGTTCAAGCCCCACAACTGACAAAAAAAAAAAAGAAGAAGAAGAAATGCACAGAAGTGTTCTCTAAACAATGTTTACTTAATCAAAAGATCAAGAATTTCTGAACACACTAACAGTTAATATTGAGGCAACAAAGAAGTTGTCTGTATTGTTAGTTAGTGGATAGCCTAATGCTGATGCATTTTTATCAGAGCTGGTATTTATATTACATTTGAATAAATGACCCCATTTAAATCCCCAAAATGAAAACCACACTACTAGTGATTTTCCATACAAATAAACTCTCCACTTTCTGTGATAAATTAAGGCCATCATTCAGTAAAGATAGAGTGTCTTCAATGAAAGTTTTCCTGCTTGAACCACTTTTGGCTGGCTAAGAGGAGTTAAAGAATCTCAGTCTTACCTCCCCAGGCTGGCTTTAAACCTTGATTTTTCTAGATCTCAGCCTCCGGGGAGTAGCTAGGATTACAGGTATAGACTTCAGAGATTTCTTTTTTTTTTTTTTCCTTTTGTCAGCCTTGGGGCTTGAACTCTGGACCTTGGCGCTGTCCCTCAGCTCTTCAGTTCAAGGCGAGGGCTCTACCACAGCGCCACTTTGGTTTTCTGGTGGTTTATTGGAGATAAGTCACAACTTTTCCTGTCCAGGCTGGCTTTGAACCATGATCCTCAGTTCTCAGCCTCCTGAGTCGCTAGGATTACAGGTGTGAGTAACTGGTGCTTGGCTCTGAGATTTCTTTTTTTGTTGTTGTTTTTTGGTTGGTCATGGGGCCTGGGCACTGTCCCTGAGCTCTTTTTCTCTGGACTAAAGCTCTACCACTTTGGGCCACAGCTCTGCTTTCTGTTTTTGAGGGGAGGAGGAGTTGTTAATTGAAGATAAGAGTCTTATAGGGGATTTTTCTTCTGACATGACCGGCTTGGAACTGATGCTCAGATCTCAGCCTCCTGAATAGCTAGGATTACAAGCATGAGCCACTCTCAGCCAGCAAAGGCTTAGTGATTTCTTTTTTTAAAAAAGAAAAAAGTAGCTGGGTGGTGTGGCCTACACCTATAATCTTAACACTGGGAAGCAAAGGCAGGAAGATTGTTAAGTTCAAGGCCAGCCTGAGCTGGCCATCAAGACTCTGTCTCAGAAGAAAAAAAAATCAGAAGTAGAACATTTGCCTGTTATGTATAAGGGCCTTTGTTCAATCCCCGGTACCTAATAAATAAGTAATGAATACATTGTGTGGTTCTATTTTCTGAGAAGACTTACTCCATAGTTATAATTGAAATGTCAATCTCACAAATTTATAAATTCAAGAGAGTGCATGCCTGTCAGAGGTGTACTGGGAGTACAGCATTGAACAAAGCAAAATTTTCTCATTGAAATAACAATTGTAATGTGTAATGACAAAATATGTCAGGTGGTAGTTAGTGCTAGAAATGCTAAAAATAAAGGGTAGAAAAGATGGCTTGTAGTTTTAATAAGTAGGTGGTTACATAAGAAGGTAACTTTTGAGAAAAGATCTGAGGCAGAAAAAGGGAGTGAGCCATGGGGATGACAGAGGGACATGTCCAAGCAGCGGGTAAGAGCAAGTCCACAAGCCTGAATTAGGAGCACATCTCATTTGTTAAATAACAGCCACAGTAAACAGATTAATGTGGTTACAGAGGACTGAGCCAGGTACAACATGAAATTTGACAAGTACTATGGGGAGTGGATCGTGTAGGACCTTGTAGGTCCGAGCAAAGTGGGGAATCCAAGAAAGGCTTTGTGGAATGGGAAGATATATCTTATGAAGGTTAACATTTAATCTTAAAGGTCCGAGCAAAGTGGGGAATCCAAGAAAGGCTTTTGTGGAATGGGAAGATATATCTTATGAAGGTTAACATTTAATCTTAATAGGATGAAGAGGAACCCAAGGATGAAGATTTCAGTCCTGATGGGGGTTATATTCCACGAATCCTTTTCTTAGGTAAGGCAAAAGGTCTTATCTGAAGATATTTAAAGAAGACCAAATGAGAAATGAAACAAGCACTGATTCTACCTAGTGAAACTATTCTGAGATGTCAAAAAAAATTTTTTTTTCAAAAGTAAAGGGAGGATAAAAGTGAGTAGGGGGACTGAATATATAGTACACACAATTAGTACTCAAAAGGCTGAAGGAGGAATGGCAAGTTCAAAGCAAACTAGCACTCCACGAAAGAGAGAGAGAGAATATACAGAAGTATAAGCTTATAGAACGTTTCCTATTAACTGCCTTTATAAGCAATGACAAGCATTTGACTTCCATTTATTCATTCAGCCAGCCATTTATTCATTTAGTCAATCATTTGAACATTATCCATATGTCAGGCTAGACACTGCAGGGATAGAGATAACCAATTTCCATCTGACTTTGATAGTGCAACTGAGTAAATGGATAGATGTAGTTCCACAAATAATTTAAAAAGATTATTAATGACCAGCTAAGTCTTTGCTCAACATTCAGCTAGATTCTGTGGAGGGTGCAAATAAAAATCTCATCATAATTAAGCTGAAAAGGAGTATGTCAGGAAGAAGAAATAACATGTGCCATGGTGTAGGGTTGGTATGCTAAGTTTCGAGAAGTATGAGGAATTTATTGTAATTATAGTATGAAATGTAGACAGTAGTGGGGGGGGTGGGATAATGGGCTACAAAGGTGAGAAGGTTTTATTTCCCACCATATGGTTTGTGACATACTTTTGTTTTAATTACTGCAATCCGTCTGCCATTTTGTCCACAACAGATCCCAGTGGCAAGGTGCATCCTGAAATCATCAATGAGAGTGGAAACCCCAGCTACAAGTATTTCTACGTCAGTGCTGAGCAAGGTACAGTTCTGAGAGACAGAGGGAGGATTGTTGCTAGGTGTAACTAGATAAACCAGAGGTAAAGTCTGTGATAGGAATTTAATCTATCTTTTCTAATCTAACCTCTCTTGATAAGCTTTTAGTGATATTCCTACTTGGGAGACAAGGGAAAGATAAAACTGAGTCCTTCCCTAGTCTAGAATCCAGGGCCAGAGGTAATTGACTCATCAAAGTCATTGCTGGTGCCTATGGCTCTTGCCTGTAATCCTAGCTACTCAGGAGGCTGAGATCTAAGTGTCAAGATTCATTCACAGCCATCCAAGGCAGGAAAGTCCATGAGACTCTTATAGCCAAGAAACCATTAGAAAACCGGAAGTGGTGCTGTGGCTTAAGCGTTAGAGTGCTCGCCTTGAGCTGAAGAGCTGAAGGATAGCGTCCAACCCCAAAGTTCAAGCCCCACGACCTACCAAAAAAAAAAAAAAAAATCCATCATTGAGCTTCCCATTAACTATCATTTCAAGTCATACAGGTTTTGTTTTTCTTCATTGTATCTGTTATTTTTCCATAAGAATCCAGAGTGAGGAGAATGCAAACTGTTAGATCAAGTCTAAGAAGATGCTAAACTTTCAGATATTATACTCCCTTCCCCTCCTCCCCCCCTCCTCTGGTCATGGGGCTTGAACTCTCGGCCTGGGGCACTGTCCCTCAGCTTTTCAGCTCAAGGCCTGCACTCTACTAGGTGAGCCACAGTGCCACTTCCAGTTTTCTGAGTGGTTTATTGGAGATAAGAGTCTCACAGAGTTTTGGGCTGGCTTAGAACCTGGCTTTGAACCAATCCTCAGATCTCAGTCTCCTGAGTAGCTAGGATTATAGTCATGAGCCACTGGCATCAGCTCAGATATTAAACTTTAACTAGACTTAGAAGTATAAGTATTTGCCTCTGGGCTGGGTGCTCCTGACTCATGCCTGTAATCCTACCTACTCAGGAGGCTGAGATCCTGCCAGCCCTGGCAGGAAAGTCCGTGAGACTCTTCCAGTAAACTTCTCAGAAAACCCAAGTGGCACTGTGGCTCAAGTGGTAGAGTGCTAGCTAGCCTTGAGCTGAATTGTTGAGGGACAGCACTCAGGCCCAGAGTTCAAGTCCTGTGACTGACCCCCCCCCCAAAAAAAAAATTGCCTATGGGAAGACATGAGGATGTCTCAAACTATGGAAGTGAGAGATGGGAGTATACAGCCCAACATGGAGATTCTGTAAGGCTTGCTAGAGCAATGTATGAGTGGATTAGGTTTTGAAGAATGAGACCTAATTAGCTACCAGAGGAAGGGCATCCAGCAAAGACAAGTGAGATCATGTCACCTAGGCTTTGTTGTTGGTGTTCTTTGTATTCCTGGAACACAAGCATCCTAGAGATAGAAATAAAGGTTGACATTTATGTCCTATATTGTTTTCTTTTTCTTTCTAATTTATGAAAAGGAGATGTTTGCTAAGTTATCATGTGTCCCCTATTACAAGATTGCCAGGTCATTGATCACTTTAGAGCTCCTATTCTCAAAATAGGGAAGAAGAAGAGGTCTAGAAATACTGTCTCCTTTCTGGGTAAAGACACAAACGTCTTCCATGATCAAATGCTGATCCTTGGAAAAGGAGGATTTCTCTGCATCAAGAAGGGCAGCTGGGCATTAGATCCTCAACTTGTCTCAAGATTCATCTTCCCTTTAGAATGTTAATGTTTGTGCTGCCATTTCCATACAGGCATAATCCAAATATGAGTACAAGGCTCTTCACTAGGCTCGCCATGGCTCAGCTAACATGAAACTGGAACATCCAAATCTGGCTTTACCACAGGGTAGGCAAGAGAAAATGGAAAGATGAAACTAAGCTATATTATCAGACTCTTGAGCTTATGGACTTGTTCAAGATTCACAAAGAGGCCTCCACCTAGCTTCCTCTGCCATTGTAGTACCACTACTCCATGGGCCTTTACCAAAGTAGCTTTCCTCCTTGAAATGCAGATCCCTAAGAGGGATGCCCAGAGATTTGCAGGAAATTTAATTTTTTGTCTGCCTAGGTTCCTCCTCTTAGGGTTTCTTATTTTATGGCCTGAAAAAGTGACTTCTTCCATTATAGTTAATAATAGAAATATCTGTGCCCTTTAGAGGAAACCATTTCCTCTCCCAGTGTGCACATGTCACCTGTAACCTTGGCAAGAAATAAAATAAATGCAATAGTCATCAAGAAGGCATAATGGGAATGGTAGGAAGGTGTTTTCTCTTATTGACTAATGAACATGAACAGTGACAAGAGAGCAGCTTCAATCCTAGAGGATCAGTCAAAATAACTACTACATTTTGTAGGTCTTCATAATTTCTTTTTTTTTTGGGGGGGGGTCCGGTTGTGGGGCCTGAACTCTGGGCCTGGGCACTGTCCCTCAGCTCTTCAGCTCAAGGCTAGTGCTCTACCACTTGAGCCACAGTGCCACTTCCAGCTTTTTTCTTTTTGCTTATGTAGTGCTGAAGAATTGAACCCAGGGTCTCATGCATGCAAGGCACGAGCTCTACCACTGAGCCACCTTCCCAGCCCCAGGTCTTCATAATTTCTGAACATGTCTATCCATTCTCTAATTTTTATGATTATCATATGTGAAGTAAGTAAGGGCTAAAATCTAGAAGTCAATTTTGAGTCCAGATCTTGTGCTCTTCTCATGTAGAATACACTTTTAAGAGTATACACTTGTTCTCAAATGTTATATATTAAACTCTGTTTCATGCTTTTCTCTTCTTCCCTTCATAGTTGTTCAGGGGATGAAGGAAGCTCAGGAAAGGCTGACTGGTGATGCCTTCAGAGAGAAACATTTTGAAGATGAGTTGTAATATGAACATACAATCCCTTCTTGTGGCAAAGTTGGTATTCTGAAGGAAAATGGAAGCAGAGGAAATAATTGAGGAATCACCCAAAACAAACTGACTAGGAAACCTTACTTCACCCTACACTGGAAGAAGCTATCTTACCTGGAAGAAGACTGCTAACAGAAGCTGGTCTGTGTTTTGTGGAAATAGTACTTAGGCAAATTTCCTTTTCCTGCTTCCTATCAGCTAAATATCTATTTGCCTCTGAATATGAAGAGTGAAACCTATTGACAAAAATCTTGAGCCACTTCTCACACATCAGAATTTGAGCCTTTATCCATTTCCTTCCACTTGAATTACCTTGGTGGTGAAAAGAAGACCAGTAGCAGCTTTTCTTCAGTGTCCAGTTCATGGGAATAACATCAATTTTTAAGAAAACAGCAAATTCTAAATGTAAATCAGTAATTCTGCTCCCTATCAAGGAGACTAGCTGGTTTTTCCCCCCATTTCTACTGGGAATAATGTTAAATCTCTGCAACTACCTTCCTCTTATCCTGTTCTGGCTTCCCTGTTTGCACACATGTATGTACAGGAATGGCCATGTGCTTGGACTCAGTTCCAGCTGGAAGCATGCTTTCTCTGTTATTGTTGGAGAAACTCAAGCCTTTGAGCCCTATATGGAGACATTTTTGTCAAGTCATCAACTGTATTTTTATACTGGGGTTAACAAATATAAAAGATAAACTATTAATTGTACCATTAAACTTTAATAAAACTTTTAAAGGAAATGTGTTGAGCTGACCTTTGGTTATTAGAGGATGGAAGGAGACAGGAGAGCTCTTTAGGAAGAATACTAACCTTAAGGCTCTGCTCTAGCAGTCCTACCCTAGGCTCCTAATCTTTTAACCATACATCAAAATGAGCACAAGGGATCATCTTTTTCTTTAAAAAAAAAAAAAGGGGGGGGGGATAGGGACTCACTGTTGTCCAGACTGGCATCCAAGTTTTGGACTCAGGGATCCTCAGATCATAGCTTTCTAAGTAGCTAGTATTACAATGTACCCATTGGTGCCCAGTGGCTTTTTGTCTTACAGAGCTTTTTTTTTTTTTCCCCTAAGCATAATGTGATATTACAAATGAGATCATTGGGCAGAATATGTGAACAGGCCACAGCATATGTAGGAAGACTCTTTGGTAATCATTAAGTCTACCCTAAAGTGACAGACTACAAGTCATAATGTGTGTTTTCTTTTTTTTTGCCAGTCATGGGGCCTGAACTCTGGGCCTGGGTGCTGTCCCTCAGCTCTTCAACTCAAGGCTAGCACTCTACCACTTGAGCCACAGTACCACTTCCAGCTTTTTCTGCTTATGTGGTGCTGAGGAATCGAACCCAGGGCCTCATGCATGCAAGGCAAGCACTCTACCACTGAGCCACCTTTCCTTGTTTTTTTTGCCAGTTCTATGGCTTGAACTCAGGGTCTGGGCATTGTCCCTGAGCTTGATTTGCTCAACATGAGCACTCTTACCACTAAGCCACATTCCCAGCCCCTCCTTGTACATTCTTTATTCATGATATTATGTTGTATAGGTGGTCCTTTTAAAACAAAGCACATTAGTTGAAAATGGTGTTTGTTTTTAAAACTTTGTAAATAAAGTCTTCACAATTGTGTATGTGTGTGTCAGTCCTAGGGCTTGAACTCAGGGCCTGGGCACTGCCCTGGCTTCTTTTGCTCAAGACTAGCAGACTCTACCACTTGAGCCACACTGCCACTTCTGGCTTTTTCTGTGTATGTGGTACTGAGGAATTGAACCCAGGGCTTCATGCATGCTAGGCAAGCATTCTACCACTAAGCCACATTCCCAGCCCCCACAATTTTATTTATTTATTATTTTTGTCCATTGTGGGGCTTGAACTCTGGGCTTGGGCACTATCCCTGCGTTCTTCAGCTCAAGGCTAGCGCTCTACTGCTTGAGCCACAGCGCCACTTGCAGTTTTCTAGTAGTTAATTGGAGATAAGAATCTCACGGACTTTTCTGCCCGGGCTGGCTTTGAACCGTGATCCTCAGATCTCAGCCTCCTGAGTAGCTAGGGTTACAGGCATGAGCCACCGGCGCCTGACCCCACAATTTTTTTTTTAAAGGAGATGGTATAATTTTGGATTTTGAATTTAGATGATGTGCAGTGGAGATGATGCCTTTTCACCCCTAATTTTATTTCTTTTTTTTTTTTGTCAGTCATTGGGCTTGAACTCAGCCTGGGTGCTGTCCCTCAGCTCTTCAGCTCAAGGTGAGCGCTCTGCCACTTGAGAACAGCACCACATCTGGTTTTCTGGTGGTTTATTGGAGATAAGAGTCTCATGGACTTTCCTACCCTGGCTGGCTTTGAACTGGGATCCTCAGATCTCAGCCTCCTAAGTAGCTAGGATTACAGGCGTGAGCCACCAGTGCCTGGCTTAGTCCTAATTTTATTATGGTGCTTACTATGGTGCTTCTAAAGGGAGGATTTGAGGAGAACCTAGAAAAAATGTTGAGATCATCCAGATAACAAGTCATAACACGTCATTCTATGTCTTAGAATTCAGAATATTTTTAAATTAGAGTTGAGAAAAAAGATGCTAATAGCTCTGTAAACCTATAATCCTAACTACTTGGGAGGCTGAGATGTGAGGATTGAGATTCAAAGCCAACCTGGGAAGGAAAGACTCAGCAAAAAGTCAAATGGAGCTGTGATGCAAGTGGCAGAGCACCAACTTTGAGTGAAGAAAGCTAAGGGACAGTGCTAGGCCCTGAGTTCAAGCCCTAGTACCGTCACATGCAACAACCAAAACAACAAATCTACTTACCCATGCAACATGATGAGTCTCAAAAACATGTTTGGTGGAAAACAAGCAAAAATGTACATGAAATTTTATTTTTTGTCAGTCTTAGGGCGTGAACTCAGATCCTGAGCACTATCCCTGGGCTGCTTTTGCTCAAGGCTAGTGCTTTACCACTTGAGCCACAGTGCCACTTTCAGCTCTTTCTGTTTATGTGGTACTGAGGAATCAAACCCAAGGTTTCATGCATGCTAGGCAAGTACTGTACCACTAAGCTACATTCTCAGCCCAGTGTATGAAATTTTAGAACAGGCCAAACAACTGATCTGTGAGGAAGCATTGGCAGTGAAAGGGAGGGGAGGAGGTGAATACAAACACAAGGAACTTTCCTTAGTGATAGAAATGCTGACTGTGATTGTTAACACAGCTGTATACACTTGTCAAAACACATCAAATTAGGAACATGAGCACTGCATTACGTAAGTTCACGAATTTGAAAACACTCTCCAAAATGAAGTCTTTTCTGAAAGTATGATTTAGTTGAGTCAAAATGTGGCTAATGAGATAATATATAAAACCTTTCCATAAAGTAAAGGAAAACCAACTGTTAAATAATTAAACTGTACTTAAGGCAGATGATAAATAACTGGATTTTATCAAAGCTTAGTATAGGGCTGGGTAGGTACCTCAGTGGTAGAGTGCTTGCTTTGCATGCATGAGGCCCTGGGTTTGATTCCTCAGTGCCACATAAGCAGAAAAAGCTGAAAGTGGCGCTGTGGCTCCAGTAGTAGAGTGCTTACCTTGAGCTGAAGAGCTGAGGGACAGCGCCCAGGCCCAGAGTTCAGGCCCCATGACTGGCCAAAAGAAAAAAACATAGTATATATTAGTACTTTTGAGGGATTTAACTTATGCAGGATATTTGTAGGCAACTGGGAAAGTCTGAGATATAGTTAATAAGTGGTTTGTGTGGTATACATGCCAGCAGTTGAGAACAAGTATAACCAAACAGGTGGCATATTCTTTTTTTGGGGGGGGGGCCTGAACTCTGGGCCTGGGCACTGTCCCTCAACTCTTCAGCTCAAGGCTAGTGCTCTACCACTTGAGCCACAGCACCACTTCCGGCTTTTTTTTTCTGCTTTTGTGGTGCTGAGGAATTGAACCCAGGGCCTCATGGATGCAAGGCAAGTGCTCTACCACTAAGCCACCTTCCCAGCCCCATCCTTTCTATTTTTTTTTAATTTTTTAATTGTAAAGATACTGTACAGAGGGGTTACAGTTACATGAATAAGGTAATGAGTACATTTCTTACATTGTTACCCCCTCCTTTGTTTTTCTCCTACTATCCCTTTCCTCCCCACCTTCCCAACTTCTCCCTCCCCACATCCTTTCTATTCTTTAGCCTTTTTACCTGTTCCATTCTGCTTTCTCCTTTCTATTCCATCCAAAGTGGTGTTCTTATGATAATGGGAAGGGGCTATGGGATTGAGAAGTGAATGAGGAAAGTTTAGCTGATATCATTTATTTTAAAAATCCTCTTTCTGGGCACTGGTGGCTCAGGTCTCTCAGAAGGCTGAGATCTGAAGATCAAGGTTTGAAGCCAGCCTGGACAGGAATGTCCATGAGACTCTTATCCCCGATTCACCACCAGAAAACTGGAAGTGAGCTGTGGCTCAAAGTAGTAGAGCACTAGCCTTGAGAAGAAAAGCTTGCACAGTGCCCAATCCAGAGTTCAAGCCCCAGGATTGATAAAAAAAATTTTTTTAAGCCTGGGAAGTACTCCTCAAGCTCTTCAGAGAAACAGAGAAGGAGGGAGCTATCCCAAACTCATTCTATGATGCCAATATCACACTCATCCCCAAACCAGGCAAAGACCCAACCAAAAAGGAGAATTACAGGCCAGTTTTCTTGATGAACACAGATGCAAAGATCCTTAACAAAATTCTAGCTAACAGAATCCAGAAACACATAAAAAAAATCATACACTACGACCAGGTAGGCTTCATCCCAGAGATGCAGGGATGGTTTAACATATATAAGTCAATGAATGTAATCCAACACATAGGCAGAGCCAAGGTCAAGAATCACATGATTATCTCCACAGATGCAGAAAAGGCCTTTGATAAAATTCAAAATTCATGCTAAAAGCTCTGGAGAAAATAAGAATAGAAGGAACATTTCTTAAAACAATAAAAGCCATTTACGGCACATCAGTAGCCAATATTATACTTAATGGGGAAAAGCTACAACCAATTCTCCTAAAATCAGGAACAAGGCAAGGATGCCCACTGTCTCCACTCCTCTTCAATATAGTCCTAGAACCCTTAGCCAGGGCAATAAGGCAAGAAAAAGACATTAAAGGGATCCGCATAGGGAAAGAAGAAGTTAAACTATCCCTGTTTGCAGATGACATGATACTATACCTTCACGATCCCCAAACTCTTAGAAATCATAAATCACTTCAGCAAAGTAGCAGGATACAATATCAACCCACAAAAATCAGTCGCCATCCTATACACTGACAATGTACAAGCAGAGACGGAAATAAAAGAAGCAACCCCATTCACAATAACCTCCCAAAAAATAAAATATTTAGGAATTAACCTAACCAAAGATGTAAAAGAACTGTTTAATGAAAACTATAAAAAAGTTAAAGAAAGAAATTACAGAAGACACTAGGAAATGGAAAGACCTCCCATGCTCTTGAATAGGCAGACAATATAGTGAAAATGGCAATACTGCCAAAATTAATATACAAATTCAATGCAATTCCTATTAAAATCCCAATGACGTTCATCTCTGAAATACAGAAAACAGTCCAAAAATTCATATGGAACAACAAAAGACCTAAATAGCCAAAATAATTCTAGGGAATAAAGACAACATGGGAGGGATATCCATGCCTTACTTCAAACTCTACTATAGAGCCATAATAACAAAGACAGCATGGTACTGGCACAAAAACAGACCTGAAGAC